CTATTCCTCGTCTATAAGGTCGTCGTCAAAAAAGAAGGACTCGTAGCCTCCTGGACAACAGTGGCAGAGTTGATCACGCTTGCAATGAATTCGAGCCCTTCGCCAAGGTTGCAGGACACTTGTGCTGGTGTCGTGGCGGCGAAAACGTGGAGGCAGGTCGTGGCCGTGAGGGAGACATATCCAGGTCATTTGGAGATGGTTGTCGGACCCGACGAAAAGGCCAGGCACCCGCTGCCACAAGCAGGGAAATTGTACGGACATGTTCCCGAAAAGGGAGGTCTTATGAACGAAGCTGAAGCCTGAGCTAGGCACTTATGGGCGTTGGGAAAGCGAGGTGGGATAGAATGAGGTAGGATATACGATATGCCAATGGTTACGATGATTGCCGAGGAGGTGGTGGTGTCGAGTCCTTTTGGAGTATTGACGGGCCGTTTTGTTGTCTGTAATGGATGATATAACTATTGCGAATAGCAGATGATACCCCCACTTTGAATACTTTTGAAATTTGTACAACCAGGACGCTCCTGGTCAAAGTCACATCGCACCTTATTTCCTGCCGAGCCCAGAATTTCAAATATCATCCTGAAAGCGGTCGGCAAATTGGGGGGCCAACCTCTCCTAGATATACGAGGCTGTGAAGGTGTCCCCCAAGATACAGACACATGAAGCATATGCCATTGGCGCACTCCTATCCAGCATGCTCTCATGGCTCATCTCGCGTGTCGAGGAATATAACCCGACCAAGCCTAGTGCCTGGGTGGATCTTGCCTGTTTGGGTGTTCCAAGCCGTATCCTCCGTTCTTCTTCTCGAGCTGAAGCTCTGATCACAACAAGTCGTAGACTTCGTCTGGATAGTGCGAGCCCCTGGTTTGTGGTGATCCATGCAGGTGCTGACACTCTAGCTCGGTCGATTGGGCTCGGATTCAGCCCAGCCTGGTGAGATTGAGAACGGCAATTGGACTTGGTTGTATCCTCTGCAGGGGAGAAATTCTTAGTGAATCATTTGGAATTGGATCCTTGAAGGCAAGTGATCGATTGGTGTGTTTCACATTGTGGCAGGCAGAGGAGTGAGAGTCGTTGACTTATAAAATGTCGAGGTTGCACGAAGCCCTTCTCAAATCCATCAACATCTGTAGTTTGAATCGTCTTGACTGACCGCACCAGTGGGCCTCTGCTCATCATTGAAGCCATCGTTCTAAATCCAACACTGCGATCATGTCTTCCTTCTTCAACCTCTTCAAGAAGAGGAAGGCGCCGCTCGCTTGCATGATGTCCCTCGATCAGGGCCACACGCATACCCAGGCTTGCTTTGTGGACATCATGCCCCTCTCGGTTGTGGAGCTCTTTCAGTCTCAGGGCTGTGCGTCCTGCCCACCGGCTCTCCCACTCATCCAAGACGCAACAAACAACCCAAATCTCCTGCTTCTCACGTACGATGTGACATACTGGAATCCGTCCAGTGGGTGGGAAGACACTTTCGGCTCGACACAATGGGACTCACGACAACGCCAATACATAACCAAATGGGGAAGGAATAGTCTCTTCACACCGCAAATTGTCGTCGATGGTGTCTCTGACGGAATTGGTGCAACAAAGGAGGATGTCAACCAGGTCATCATGAAAGCGATGGATTTGCGAAATGGAATGGCTTGGGCTCTTGGCATTGACCGGGTTGGAAACGACCTCAGGCTTGCGGCTGAGGCACCAGAAGCGGATATGGTGTATGACGTGTTGATAGTCACGTATGATCCAATGCTTCAGACCGTCAAGCCTCGCACCGGCCCAAATAAGTCAAAGAAGATCCCTCATCGCAACGTGGTCAAGGAATTGATGAAGATTGGAGAGTGGAGCGGCGGAATTTCGAGAGTTGCCCTCCCGAACATGAAGAAGGACGGATATGAAAGAGTTGCAGTGGTGCAGGGAGGTATTGGAGGCCCGATCATTGCTGCCCTGAAATTGTAGGCACTGAGCGTCTGCGTCTGTGTCTTCGTCTGATCGCTTTGGTTAGGGGAGTGTCTCTGGATGCGGAATTTAGGATGCAAGGTGTCGACCATTCTCTTCCACCGCAGCAGCAGCGCATGAAATATTTTCCTGATATATTTTGAGGTCACCGCTGCAACTTTATTGAATGTGCCCTCCTGCTATTGCTTGGGTATCTTCCCCCTTGCGTGACTATAATGATGGGACATCGGAGTGGTCTGCGCGTGTCAAAGGAGGTGGGCTGTCCGCGAAGATCCTTCATAGTTCACTGGAACGGGTTCTTTGCTATTCGACGTCAATGGATTAATTGCTACAAAGTTGCTGGATGGGTTCGGCAGAGGAAACAGAGCAACATAGAGCAAAGAACCCCTGATGGTTGCCCGACCAATGACGAATAGCCAACATTCACTCCCAAGAAATTTCCTTCGAGCAAGGGACAGCGCACAGGGACGCAGGGGAATCCAAACCACCTCAGCCTCTGTATGATAGGCATGAATTTGTTCCTGTTCACACGCTAGCGAGGTGCATAACGGAGTAGACGGGGAAGCAGAGCGACACTGCGCCATGAGCTGTACATAGATCGTCACCAAAGAGGGCAATCCTCACCTGCTCCGTACTGGCATCGCAGCCGTCGCAGAAAGCCGATGGCAAACAAAGTGGCTTTTCCACAGCCCTGTTAATGTTGCGCTGCCATCGACGACGTGGCTGGGGGTGTCGAATGGGTGCTGATATGACTCACAAAATGATATGCGTGTAGTGGCCATGACCATTCCACTCCGCCAATCCTCTCGAAAGAGGCCAGGCAGCTTTGAAGGAGATAGAGAGCTCGGCAGGTTTTCATCTCAAGTCCATTGTGGATTGGCGACTACGGGCCATATCAGTGGGAGCGCGTGCTTTCGCCTCGTCCTCAGCACTCATGGCGACGGTCCTGGTCGAAGCGCGAGGTGACATTGGTAATCCAACGGGCGCGTCTTCTCTCGTAGAGGGCCCCCAAGGCGGTGGGCTTGACGCGGCAGCTTGAATGCCTGCCTGCGGGAATCACGTGAGTGGGTACGCAGGAAGGAGACTTGGGTATCGGGTCATGTCATGCTGATTTTGAGTTGGGCTTCGCCTTCATTTGGCGTCCAGCATCCAGCGTCCAACATGCAGGGGTACGGACCCGCAAACATTCTATCCAGAGTCTCCAGTGAGAGCTTTTCCTTCTAGCGCAAGTCAGGGACGAGGGCGGTCAGTTTCGAGCAAACACAATAGAAGCAAATCATGAGATGAGGATCACCGGACTGTAGGCGGTCAACGTCTCGGTCGGTTAGAGGCAGGCCAGACGGTCCAGCCATGACGCAGTTGATGAGAAGCGGAAGTTGAGGCAGAAGCAGACACCGATGGGCACTGGGAGATGGGCAGGAGAGATGTCTCTCTGTTGGCGAGTTGAACAGGATGAATGGATGAGATCGATTTCGTACACCACACAGTAGTTTGGATGGGAAGGTCAGGAGGGCGATTCACAAGGACAACGTTCTCAGTGTAAAAGTGTAATAGCGTGATGTGATGTGCAGCCCCGAGTCAAGGCCCGTGCCGGCCGAGCAGAATGCTTCCTTTGCAGTGGCGCCCAGGGCCCATCACCCACGGCCCATCATCCATCGCTACGAGAACCACCCGGGGGGAAGCGAACCGAGCCTAGAGAGCAAACAGTTAAGCCCGACGACATCCAGCGCTCTGCCGCCATCTTTTGTTTTGTTTTCCCCCAATTCAAACCATCGGCTGAGCAGCTTATGTCGCGTACATCTGGGACCAACGCCGGAGAGCATTGTCACTGCCATTGTCACGATCGGAACAGGGCGCGATTTGGTTTCTTGGTAAGACTAATCCCGTCTCCTCTTGGGTCACTGGTTCCGTCTCTTTGTCTTCTGACCTCTGGCCTCCCTGCTTGCCCCTTTTGCCCTGGCGGTCCAGGGTCGAGGAGCCAGTCACCAAAGGACCACTGTTGAGGGCCACTCCCGCAGTCTCGATTCGGCGAAGGGGGAGACCACTGGGTGCTCACATTTCGAGGCGGAACAGATGCAATTCGTGCCTAATCAGGAGAAGTCGAGCAGAAAGCAAACAGCCAAAACGCTGAAGCGACCTAAAAGGTGGTCGCATAAAAGGTGGCCGTTGAGCGGAGTCGCGCGCAGCCAGTCTGGTAGCTCGACAGCAGACAAACTTGGTGCATGCTGCACGCACCGCGATTCCGACGACTGCTACTGGCACTGGGGGTCAATCGCTGCCCAAAAAACAAAGCAGACCAAACGGCAGGTCAAGGAGAAAAAGGAAGCGGGAAAAAAGTGCTTGGGATTTCGCAGAGCATCCAATCCGCACCCTGGCTTGCTCTCGCCCACCTCTCTCCTCGTGTCTTGTCTATGCCTTCGACTCATTCTCCTTGCTGCTTTTTGCGAATAAACAGAAAAGGTTCCCTTGCAACGGCCACTCAGTCAGACTGGGGACCTTTCTGCTGTCCTCATCCCCGTCCTCGTCCTCCTCCCTCTTCTTGGATTCGGCCTCGGTCCAGTCCCATCTCCTCCTCACCCTCTCACCCTCTCACACACCCTCCCCCCCCGTCCCAGACCCATCCAGAGACCACAGAATGGGGCATTGACCGTTCCTCGTCAGGCTCCATGTTTCTGATCTTGGATCCCCTGCCCCTCCGCGCTTTTCTCTCGCTGGTACTGTATTGTACCAGAACCGTGGGTGCTTGCCGTCCTGCAACACCTACATAGTACTAAACCCGCTGCATCTCCCTCCTCCCCTCCCACCTCTGAACATCTGACATACTCTTTGACTCTTCAACAAAGATGCTCCTTGTGGCTGGCCATCTCATGCACTGCTAAAGACTTCATTCTCTGTTGTGAGATAAAAAAAATCAACAGCCCTCAGCCCTCCCACCAACAGCCCTTCCCCACCTTTTCGCTCACCGCCACTTAACCATTCCTCCGTTTTATCGGCACAACAACAAACAATTATCGTCAACTCCCTTCTCTGTCGCACCTATGGCCATGCAATATTCGCCCCAGACTTACTTCCCCTATCCCCAGCCTCAGTGGCCTGAGGACGTCAAGCCCCCTCTCACCGAAGACGATTCCTCCTCGATCCTCGACGACAAGGTCTTTGAATCCTCCACCCCCGCCGATATGACAGCTGCCGATGCCTCCGACCATCGACGTGCTTCAATCACAAAGTTGGAGGATGATTACCCTGCATCAGCCCATGTCTGGCAGGAGAGGCCCCAGGGGGTCATCGGCCCCGTCCGCCATTACTCGCAACCCTCGATCCCAATGGCAACCCCAAACGGCCAATTCTTCAGTCAGATGAACGCTGCAAACTGCGGTCCTGGATTTATGCCAAACCAACCGTGGACTATGTCTGGGCGGTCCGAAGCGAGCACTCCCACCCCCTTCTTCGGCCCGGTGCAAGAGCCTTTCGAGCAGCAGGTTCAATACAGCGGGGGCCCGGTCACCTTTTCGGGTTTCTCGCAACAAGACCCTGCCTCTGCCGTGTCCATGTCGCCGCAGTCGAGTCAAGGCGGATGGGCTTCGACTACTTCGTCAGATGCTGCCGAGACGAATCGCAGCATTCTGAGACACAGATACAGACCTGCGTCCCCGTTGCTGGTACTGAGATCCGATGGAATCAGGAAGAAGAACGCCAAATTCGAAATCCCTCCAGAACGAAATATCAACACCATCGACGCCCTGATCAATCAGGCCACAAATGAGGACGAGAAGAAGGAGCTCAAACAGCAGAAACGTTTGCTACGGAATCGCCAAGCAGCGTAAGCATCACGCAATCTCCTCGCTCATTGTCGACTACTAACTCTCTTCCCACAGACTCGATTCTCGTATGCGCAAGAAGCAAAATGCCGAGAAATTGGAGGCAGACAAGAAGCTTTTAATCGATCAGAAGAACGCACTTGAGGAAGCCCTCGGTCAATACGAGAACCAACTCCACCAACTCCACAGTGAAAGACGGGACTGGATACTTGAACGTCAGCGGCTCGAGAAGTGCATTGCCGATCTAGAGTATCAGAATGAGGAGCTCATTCGGACCTCGACTCGGGAGACCGGCGAGCTTCGACGGATGAACACTATATTGAGGGAAACCGTTGGCGAGCTTGAACGGAATCAACATTCTCGTGCCTTCTCCGCTAACGCCTCGGATGCCTTCTCCAATGACTTTTCAAATTTCAAGGATCTCGGTCTGGAGGACCAGTGGAACGATGAATTCGCCCTGATCAACAGCGAAGACTTGAAGATGGAAGAACCGGAGTCACTACAGAGACAAGCCACTCCAAGACCTACCACTTCCTCAACACAACCAAACACTTCCACGAAGTGTGGTGTCAAGGTCGATGCTACTTTTAGCTGGGAGACGTTTTACATGTGCTTGTTATCTGGCGCCTTTATCATGTCCCAAGCGGGTTCGAGAGCAGCTAGTGCCGCATCTTCTGTTGCGGTTGTCGCACCCAGCATGCCCACCCTATCCGACGAATATCGTGCTGAGGCTGGCAACGTTCTCCAGGCGGTTCTTGCTTCCGGCCCAGATGTACCACATGAGGTCCTTCCTAGCCGGCCTGCACAGTCGTTAGACAGCAACAGCTTCCCCCACGCACTTTCCCATGTGTCTGGGATGACCCCTCAGTCCTCCGACACTCCACTCGGTAATCTCCACGCGTCTCTCACCACACCGTCTCGACAACAACAAGCTGCTGCCGCATTCTCCCTTTCTGCTGCCTCCTACAATCACATCAGTAGCCCTGACTGCGCTTTCGACGATGACGACGACGAGGTGGTCGAAGTGAAACCAACTCGACTGCAACAATTGTTTGCAGATATGCAAGCTGAAAGGGACGGACTCGAGAAAATGAGCGGCTTAGGCGGAAAAGCCCGAGAACGGAGCGTGCTCCTCGACCGAGTCCCGGAGAAGGTCCTACGAGATTTCCGAGAAATGATTGCCAGAGTCGAGTAAGACTTGTCTTCCAAAGGCTGTTCGATTTTTGACGGCACAGAAAGACTTCAGGTCCGACAAGAACCTTTTATCACAGGCATTTTTCTTGGAAGCGGTGGAAAATTCCTTTTGTTCTTCTTTCCTTTCTGAGCTACATTCTCCACTCAGACGAATAGGTCTGATTAACCAACCTATACGAAAGCGAAAGACTCATATGCTTCAGGGCACAATTTCCTTATCTCTTCATACTTAGGGACTCCTGCACTTTGATCAGGATGTGAAATCAGTTGATACGATAGGATACGGCATGATTGATTATGATGACCCAGAACTTTAACGACCTATGATATGAAAATTCTTTCTGCGTTTCATTGTTTCATTGTTTCGGGCTGGGATTTGGATGAACAGGCGGAATGCACATACAATGACATGTCACGGAAGTTGGTGGAGGGTGAGGACGAAGCAGGCCAGCGAGAAGAAGCGAGTCCGGGTATCAAAGAAGACGCCCGGCGATGAAGTGTTTTATTTGATTGGGAACTCTTCAAGAGAGCAAATGAAGGGACAGGGAATGAGCATAGGGAAAATGGACAGAGATATGGATCGGATGGACTCAGGGCAAATCAAGCGGCCCCGCCATGATGTTACGAGCAAAATAACCGACGTACAGTTGTTTAACGCCTTCTCATATAGCACCGTATAAAGATGCCTCGGGCAAGAAAAAGACAGACGGAAGGATAGCACGGAGCATAATGTCTCGAGCACAGCAGATAGGATCGTTGAAACGGGAACGAACCAACTTCCGAGCTCTATCCAGGTTGATTCCAAGTTCCAACATTCTTCCTTGTATCCCTAGAATCAGGCCATCGGTCTTGGAATTTGTCCATCTGCATCGAGAAGGTGGCCAAACGGGCTCGAAGGTTCCAGGGCCCGATTCCTGCCGGACGGCCATCAGTGTAAACAGGCTGTCACGGGCATGTGCTTTGCCTTGCTTTGAAGTCCCTTGTTTCACCGATTTCGCTCGCTTCGAGCTTGACCAGCCAGGTTTAACCAAGTCTACGGGCACCACCCTTCGGTGATAGCCGTCATTAACGTCAATGGCCCACTGTCTGACCAAGGAGACACAATATTGATGGGACCTTTCGTATTCCGAACCGCGCGGCCAAAACCAACAGTCGTAATCAGATGTTCATCCCAGGAGTAAGGGACGAGAAGAGACACAGTTCCCTCGAAGTCCCCTGCGTCATGCAGGCACGGCCTCATCCACCTCCACAACGACTGACTAACAACGTGATCTAGATTCCAGGGATGGGCCGTGGCGTTGGCGCGGTCCGCCCTTGCGCCTGGACTTTTCACGGGTTGAATCTTTTCTGAAAGTAGATATCAACAAGTGGGAATAGTAGAGCACTGGAGAAATGTCGCCCAATCTTGGTTGCCTGGGCAGACCGTGGGCAAAGGCCGCAACAATAGGGCACATAGGCCTGAAGGGCCCCAGTCATAGGTAGGCTCATTGTTCGGTTTTGCTTATCTGTCGTCGGGTTCATCGGCTCCCTTGGCTCGCTTTGAGTCATATGGTAGAGTTTCCTGGTTTTTGGCCCGAGTGATCATTACGCCGTCGTCAAGGTGACCTCGGCGTGCTACTGCGGACGGTGAAGGCCACTGTCTCATTTTGGTGGATCATATTTCTCCTTCCAAATCCTGATAATCACAAACACCAAGACGTCAGCACATAGTCACGCATCACCACTCTTTGTCCGGGTCACTAATGAAACATTCACAGTGCTCAGTGAGGGCAAGTGCCGGCCGGCTCAATGTTTTGGTTCTTGCGCCTCATGGAGGCCCTGCGGCCCAGCCACTTCACCCTTGAGGTTTGAAGCGTCCGGCACGAACCAGTTCTCAGGGTTGGTGGTGGAGGCCGGGTCGCCACACAGGTCGCATAAGTGTCTCCAAGTTTGACCACCAATCAGACATGTCTTGGCATCGAGGTCAAGGACACCGCCCGATTTTCGACCCGATTCGTGTGAAAATACTCAAAGCGAATGTGATTAAGGGCCAGGTGAGGGAAGAGATGGTCGGGTGATAGGCAGTTCTGGGACAAAATGACATGAGACCATGACTTACCAGGAATTTCCCAGCGTCTTTGCGCCGTTCTTTTCGGCCAATCTGAGGAGTTGCGCCGCTTTAAACTATATCGCAAGCCCCATGTGTCAGTAGCCATTTAATTCTCCGAGAGAAACATGATGGTGATTCGCGCAGTTCAACATGACTCGAGACTAATGCAAGGTACGGGAACCAAGAGGCTTCAGGCTGACCGCTGAGTGGAGGAAGGGCTTCTGCATTGCTGCCCAAAGTGAAGCTGCCATTGAGAAGGCGCTGTATTTGGGTAATTCGCGTATTTGGGGGCCGTAGGACGCCCAAGTTCGTGTCAAAGGGCCCCCTCCAAGAAATGCCACTCCCGATATGGGTCAGGCTGTGTTACACTCGAATCTCAGTCAGGCCCCTTCGGGGGTGCATGAGGCTCAGCTGGCCACCTGCTGCTGCTGTCCGTCACGTGTCAAGAGGAAGAAGGGGGTTTGTGTTGGTCGGGAGATGCACGTATACAAGGTCATATGTGATGTTTGGATTCCCAAGCAAAGCTCACAAGATGAAAGAAGGCGCGGAAACTCACCTTGTCCTTTTTGCCCCCAAATCCTTCGAGGTAGCACCAGGCAGCTTCATTCATGGCGTCCGTATCTCCTAGATTTGCCGCCGTCTCGTAATACTGCCTTGCTGCGACTTTGTCGACCGGGACCCCCCAGCCGTGTCTGAAGCAGTTTGCCAGTTCGAAGATTGCAAGCACAAGCTCTCCCTTGGCGGCGCCTCCCTTTTTCATTCCAGCTTTCAGGGCATCGGATTCAATGGTGGCAGAGTTGGATGCTGCAGCTGACAGATAGGTGACTGCTTTTGCAGGATCTGGTTTGCAACCCCAGCCATGCCGAAGAGACAACCCGTAGAGAACCTGGGATAAGACATTCCCATATTCTGCGAGTTGGCGGAACATCTCAGTTGCCTCCTCGAGGTCGCCAGACTCGTGAAGCTGGATAGCCTTCTGGATGTCAATGTCGCTCTCTGGGTCGTTGATACTTCGAGGCCTGGACGGAGGTAGCCCAGGTAGGCCCAAGTTGAGAATGTCCATATCGCCAGTCAAAGATTGGGCGGGCATGGCGGGACTTTTGCTGGCCAAAATGGTAGCACGTTCCTCCCACTTCGCTTCTGTCTCTTGACGATTTCCGGATTCGGTATATGCATCAGCGATTTCAGGGAGGTCAGCAGGGAGATTGACCGAGCTGGTGCTAGCAGAACGATCTCTATTGAGATGCAACCGCTCAGACAGCCTTCGATGCTCCTTCTTTTCTTTCTCTGGAGAGGACAGCTCTGCCGCACCCGGACTCGGACTCTTTCGAAAGCGGCCAAACGAGCGTCTCGAAGACGAAGGACTCTTTGGTTCGATCGCGGCAGCGAGCTCTCGATCGTCATCAAATCCAGGAGGATTGATGTATTCTTCAGTATGTGTGTCCGTCCGGACAAATGTGAACGCAGTTGCCTGGGGCAGGGGCGGAGGTTGGAGTGCGACATCACTATCGATCTTCTCCTTCTTCTTGAGCAAGTCTCTAAGAGGCATTGTGGGCGGTAGCTTTGCAACAAGAGGGGGAGGTTGTGGTAATGGTGATGGGGTCAAGAGTGGATTGACACAGATGGTAGGGGTTGATGGTGGCGGTGGTGGTTTTCTCGAGGGAACGCGAGTGTGGTCAGGGGATGCTGCGACACTGGCAGTACCTCTTAATATGCATGCAGACGCAGGAATGCGACATGAGTTGGATGCGAGTGCGTTGCGGCTGTGCGGGCTTGGAGTGGTTCCTGGCGAGCTTGATCCGCAGTGAGATTGCAGCTGAACGCCGAGCGGTTGGTGTCTTGGAAGGTTGAAAGGGGAGATTGACAGTGTCTGGGTGTCTAGGGGGAAGGCAGTGCACGGGGGCCTAAACAGAAGCCGCCCAACAGCATCGACAGCGACGAGCACTCTTTACCGAGTACCTCGTACTCAGTACTGTGCACTCCCATCGTTTCCTGGTGTGTACTCGTTGCTCCCGTCAATTCTCTGATTGCGCGGCCTGCTGCTCATTCATCAGTGATCCCTTGCATGCGCAGAGCAATATTGTTTGTGACACTGATAACTCGGGTTCGTGGTAGGGATGAAATAAGTGGCTAGTGGGCTCAACGGGAGCCAAGTGAGGGGCAGCAGCAAATGACTAATTACCCAGTAAGTATTCGGTGAGTGCCTGCTTCCTGATGTTGTAGATTGCCGAATTCGACTGCTGTCGATCCAGGAACCTACTTTCCACCTCATTCCACTCCATTCAACTCCCCTTCCGTCTCTGCCGAGCATCCTTGACTCTCTCGCTGCGTCTCCATTTCATCGGTCCCTTTCAACTCCAACCATGCAGGTCCTAGATTTGCCCAGAGAGATCCTGGCCCACATCCTGGCATGTCTCCACCCTGCGGCCATCGCCTGCTTTGGCCAAACTTGCAAGGCTGCACATGATTTTGTCCGTCCCCAGCACCAGATGCTCTGGAGAACTGCCTTCTTGCACATCTTCGATGACCCTAACGATGCTTGGTCGATGATGCCCGGCCACCAGCTATTGGTCCCAGACCGCGCATGGGATTGGCATCAAGAACTGTGCGCGAGATTGATGGCTTTGCGAGGTGTCCAGTCAAAGCGATGTGGTTCCGACAGTTGTGCTGAAGCATACCTCAGCGCCCTACTCGACATCCTCGATACGGCAAAATTTGCACCCAATGCTCGTGATATTGCTAACGGCAAAATGCCAGAGGAGGACGACCGGACGACATCGCTGAACCTCCAAATCCTCTCGGGCCTGACTGCATATCGAGATGGCATCGAGAGTCTCATCCACGATTCAGGAACTCAAAAAGTGCTGCCACACGCCCGATCCGATGAGCGTGTGTCGGGCGGTACGCTGCGTTTCACAAAAAGCATGGCCCTGAGCGAAAATGACCGGAATCGACCCGAGTCCGCCTCCAGGCTTCATGTGCTTTATGGTCTGACAAGTCGTGAACGCATTGAGCACAAGGCCAGAGGAGCTGCCAGACGGAAAGTCTACAATTGGAGTTTGAGTGGACCGGACAACGATTACGGGCCTTTTCGTCGGGACGGCACCGGGAAGGTCGACTGGCTGCTCCTCGAGGCTGTCTTCAGCGTCATGAGCCGCAATTTTTCCATGTGTGCGGAGGGCCGCATTGCTATGCCACAAGGTTTCTGCTATGCCCTCCCTCACCGAACTTTGGCTGATCCAACCATTCCTCATGACTGGGCCCGAGTTACTGGAACTTGGTTAGGAACTTACTCATGGCTCGACTACCTCGACCTCTTCGCCTTCAACAATTTTAACCGTGATTCTGGCGCTCATCCGACCTTGGACGATGAGCCTGAAGACTCTGGCGATCTGATGAGGCTCGAGCTCAAGCTCGATGACGTCGTTGCTTCTGATCCACGCTTGACCACAACCCTTCCTGTCTGTACTGACCTACCTGTGCTTTACTTCTCTGGACTTTCCCGTGGTCACGTCGGTATACACCGGCCGGTCATAGGAGTAAGAGGTTGCGCCAGCCTTGTACCAGGTGGACGAGAGGTAAGATGGAGATTCATCATCTACTACGGCGGCCAAGATCAGTGGCAGTTGGAAGGTGTCCAGCCAGGAGGCATCAGATCAGGAGGGGTGTTTGGGTTGTGGACGCAGTGCGACCATGAGGAGAACGGACCCGTGGGACCATTCTGCTATTTCCCGGCGGAGCTTTGCAAGCCAACGACCGTTGTTTTAGCTACTTGACCTGCAAAGTACGAAAGAGACGAACATACAACATTCGCATGGAGAGCGTTGTGGCATCCAGGGTAACGCGAGATTCAGCGAACCACTAATTTCTAAGGAGCACCGTAATTCTCCACGTGCTCTCGAAGTGACCTTTTTGCACATCTACGGACATCAGTTTTATGGACAACTACATCATCGTTAATTCCTTGCATTTCACACTCAATCAATCCGCTCTAATATCAAAAGCCGATACGACACTCAATCGCCTCGTATAGGAGTTCTTAGCAGCCCCTCCAATGTTCGCTCTGGAAATGCGATCTTCAATCGCGCAGATTTTGTTCAGAAATCTAGTCAACCAGACTCTGAAACGGGCCATTTCGGGGGGAGAGAACATGCCTTAGGAGGCGTGGCCAGTCGAATTGCCTGAGTGCAGAGCGACCTACCAAGTCAAAAGTGGGGATTCAAGGAGGACGTGATCCCCCCATGCCCCGAACGGAACCGACAGCACATTCCCTTTTGCCTTTTTCATCAAATCAAGGAGCGCCAGGATCGGTCTCACAAACCCTGACTTAACCACATCGCCCTACCTTCTGCTACACGTGCTACGTTGCCACTCCGTGCCGCTGATAAACTCGTATTGCGCTTAGTGAACTTGAAAGGAACCCTACTGGATAGCACTATGGACTCAGTATCCTGTGCACGGGAGGATATCACCACGGCGCGGTGTCAGCTTTGCTTGTGAGAACCCTATTGGAGAATTCGAGAAGTTCTACAAGTGACCAGAGTATACTGGGCAGACTGGCCCAGAGCGGACACTGGAGAATTTGTCCAGGCGCCATGTGCTGAGTGAGATGTAAAAGTACAGAGACGAAAGTAAAAAGGACTAGCACGGCGTTCACTTGAAAAAAGCCAAGGGCAAAAAGGCGGGGGAAAGAAGTCAGATACAGTGGTTGCCGGCGGCGACAACACTCCAAGTCAAAAGTCAAACTAGCTTTCTCAAGGTCGAGTCCTGAAGTCGTGGGCAGTATAAATACCTCTCACCTAAAAAAGCCGCCACATCGTCAAACGCCTCAAATCCCAGCGCCTTCACCAGCTCCACGTATCCGGTAGCGAAGAGGCCTCCCCCAACAATCATATCCTGCTTTCTTTGTCCGGTGGAAGACGATGACCATGGCGAGGATGCTAGGGCAGAAGAGTAGCGCCTGGATAGGCCCAGGTGGTATTCTTCAACATGGGCGCCGACAGAATATACCCAGGGCACGTCGTACCTTCTTTCATCTTCTAGGAACCAAAGCTGTCTCGCGTCTTCGTTGTGCAGTCCGTCGATATAAGGAAATGGCGGACTGAGGCGCTGAAGATTGGCAGCCACTTCAGCCAGTCGCCAATATAATATTATTCTTCAAAAATGGCTCCATTGAAGAAGCGCGCGGTCAAGCAAACGACCATGTCGAAAGGGACTAGAGGCGTCACCCATATTAACGCTGAAACCGCGAGCGGGGATCAGTGCCTGCTCCTGTTAGCTTCGTGGCTTCCTCGATGTCGCACCAGAAGCAGAACTGCTTTCGGACATCGAAGAGCGCGGCTCGCAGAAGGCCAGTCTCTGTTGAGACCACGGCCCCAGGATCCCACTCGTCAGGGTGGAATACTGGGCGGGAGCGGTCGAACCAGGCACCAGCCACCTGTGAAAACACTAAGCACTCTGACTGCATCGGGCCCGTATTCTCCAAGCCTCCCATGAGACCGACCGCCATCTTCACGCCGGCGAAATAGATCTGAGCAGACCAAGTATCTCCAGATATGACACCACAGGCGGCGAGCTGTGAGGAAGCACCCCTGATCTTTTTCAGCAAATCGAAGCCGCCAAATTGGCGATATGCCTCAAGCAGATGCCGCAATTTCCTCACGGCTCGGAGCTTATGCTGCTCTGCCAGGATGAGAGCATTCCGGTCGCGTCGGCCAGAGGTAAGATAGCGCATAGCCTTTCGGGGTCTTTGGTCCATGGTGTTGGTACTGCTTCTTGCTGTTCTTGCTGTTGCACTGGCGATTTCTTGGATATCTGGCCATTGACAGCATTTTTTCGCCCGGCGAAATTAGTGGAATTGACTCGCCGGTTTGTGCGATGGGAGGCTTTGGCGGCATGAGAGAATGCCTCAGCTCGAAGGAGTTCCTTGTACAGTACCCTATGTCTGTCCCCCCCGGGGGAGGGGGGAGGGGACGAGTCCACGAATAGGGAAGCTTTGGGTGCAGCCACTGAATGGGTCAATCAATGGGCTATACGCTGAAGGGCGCGATAGATCATCGACGACGTGACGCGCCAGTTGCCCCCTACGACGGTTGTACGAGTCCTGCTGGCTCTGATGGCTCCTTTGGTGTTTTGACACGGCTTCAGCAGTGTAGATAGGATAAATCGCTGCCTCTGCCTCACGGAATTTCCCCTGCCACTCTCTTCTCTATGCAAATTGCATGCCAGTTCTGTCGTCGGCGTAAAAGAGCTGCTCTCTCCCTCAGACTCCCATGGCCACAAAAAGCCTACCCAGTAAATGCCGGCCATCAGAAAAACGAAAAGGGTCGAGGCCCCAGCGGCGGACCCTTTACCACACATGGCGGCAGGCTGGTGGCTGAATAATGGCGCCTACAAGGGGGCGAGATAGGGCTTGCATGAGACGGGCACGGAGTATACCTTGCTAACTCGTAGGGTCGATCCAGGGCGCTTGCGTACTACAGGATCTGGGTGGCAAAATGGAGAGGAGCCGATCGTCAGCCTTGGATGTGAACCCGTGAAATATTAAATCACAACTAAGACTCCAACTATGGCCCACATCAGACAAGTGCTACTTGTAGTACGTATTACATTTGTATCCAGTAATGGTGCCCAGATGATGGCGGAGCCAGGCGGAGATGCGAGAAGTACGTACGGGACACTATCGATTGAGGAGCCTTGCCATCACGGGTCTCCAAAGGGGGTAATTCCGATCCTTAGATGGAATCCTACCGTCGAGAATCTAGCTATGCTCGCCCCCCGTCGAGGAAGAAGTAGGATAAAAGAATGTCCTCCATCCTGATATGTAAATATGTATGTAGCCTGCGGGCATAATAGATACTTTGCCATACAGCACTTCCGACCATCAACTACGCACCAAGCATTATTAAGGGAGGGCATTGAAAATACCAGACCATTCCGTAGAGGGAAATCTGAGAAGAAGCCTTCGTGTCGTTAACAAAATGCCCGGATGATCCACGTTCAGGAGAGATGCCTCTCTGGCAAAGATCTCGAGATGTGGCGTTTGTCAAGGCGGATGACTTTCACAGTTGACAGACTTAACAGGTTTAATCATCCCTCTGCAACTGAACCCCACTCCTATAGCAAAACACATCTTGCCCGTCGTCACGTTCTGTGATAAGAATGGTGCCGCCCGTCTGTCAGTAGATATCCCCGCGAAACATTCCTCGCGTCGAGTGCTTCCCAACAGCGCAAGTGTAAAGAGTCACGCACCGAGAGTTGTATCGTTTACAGTAGAAATCACAACAAAATGAATGAAAGAACAGTCTTTCCCTAGTTCAGAACATTTCCTCTCCCCCTCCCAGCTGCACAAGCTTGATGAACACTCGAATATAGATGCTGAAGCTCGGAGCCATCACCTGCCCGTAATATACCCACCCACACAAGGCTAGGGAAGCAGCAGTGGCTTTGGATGGCTTTGACCGGACAATGTCCCGCGGTCCACAAGGGAGAGCCTGGCCGTTAGAGAAGCAGTTGGCAGCTTTCTGTCGGTATTTCTCTTCCCCGACGATCTCGTCGTGCTGCTGAAGGCCTTTCTCCCCAGCGGGATTATCAGAGAACGACCTAAATGAGAATGAAGCGGGCGGTGCTGATCCTTCCTCGGGAGGCCGTGGTAGCGTTTTGATGGACATGCGGTTTGGTCCAATCAGTCGAAGCGGCAATTCTTCAACTTTGGCAAGATAAGTGTAGAGGCCAGCACAGCATCCTCTCCATTCCGAGGCCATTCCCGGCACGTCCTTGCGAAGCTGATCAAAAGCGTTACAGGCGGTGCTAACAAGACGTGACACCTGCTCGAAGAACTCCAAGCTCTGTTGCCCAAGGGATTGAAGAAGTTGGTTGAACTCGGCGTCAAGTTGATTTTCGGGCATCCTATATTTCATTTCAAGCTCGTGAAGGGCGGCATTTCCAGAAGCACTCTCAAAGACGGAACCAGAGTCGTATTGGGGATAAACGAGGGCCTTTTCCAATGGAATAGCAGCTGTTGGAACGCTGAAACAGTGGTCTGGGGATCGGTGTGGCGGATCGCAGAGACTGCTATCGAATAAAACGAGCCATGTGTACATGTTACGAGCTTTACACATAAGATCATCTTGTCCGCTTAGGCTAGTCTGAGCAGAGAATGCAGCGTTGACGGTGTCCGGCGAAATTGGTGTCGCCGGGAGATGATACGAGATTTTCCACGTCTAATATTGAAGCTTAGTTATACAGCAATTACACCAAGAATCGTAAACACACGAATTGAGCCGAAAGGAGAAGGTGCACTCACATGTGGTAATAGAGGTGGTGTCGCCATGGTAGGTTCCCATGGTCCAAAATGAGTTTCCTGCTGTAGACGAAGCATCCATTAGAATCCTTTCCGCAAGGGCTGCGGGCGGAGGCAATGCGTTATTGCATCGAGCGAGACAAAGGAAACATGAATTGATGGCCCATCTTGCCTACTATGACTCTCGCATCATTTTGTCAAGTCATAGTAGTCAATCAACTCATCAGAAGAAAACACGCTCAACCTAGCTTGCTCTGCGTAACAACATGGAGCACATGTAGCTCAGGGGTTAGACATTCATGCACTTTGTAAATGCTTGAGGTGTGTCTGCAGACACGTTACGAAGACCTGATGCTCTGTTTGCGTTGAATGTCAAGGGGCCCATCCGAGGATTTTGTTGAACAAACCACTGGATGCATGGAGCATCCAGCCATGTTCGGTGGAGGGAGAGTCCATCCTGCTATAGACAAAAGAGGTCCTGGGGGCATTGTGGTGAGAATCTTTCAAAAATTTCCATTCTGTCCACACGGGGCATGAGATTTCCGGAGGAGAGCACGTGTGGAGTAAATAAAATGTTCCTTGGTCATATTCCGGGTGATTTCCTGGCTTATTTCCCGATCATTCCTGTGGCAATAACCAGGATTTTCCTTGGGTTTCAATCGGGGCCAATCCTGATAAATGGTGGAGCGTCTAACCAAATCCCGGCACTGACTAGGTCGGTCCTCTCCTGTGTTGGAAAACGACAGAAAAGTGACGAGAGAAAGGCAGGAAAATAAATAGTTAGAGGAATGGAGTCCATACAAACCAAACAAGGCCCGGCGATCCAGCGCGTTGGATGTCGGGTTGACAATTCGGGCTTGGGGGATCAGCACAGCCCGGTCCCAAAACAGCGTTGATCGTGGATCGCGGACTTCGCCTCTGCTTTGCGAATGGCACAATCTGCATATCGTGGTTCGAGTCCAAGGTATGCTGATACCCAGGAAACATAGGCGGTTTCGTCCACTCTGGTCGTCGCTGCATTTCTCTGGGTGCGCTTGTTAGCCTCAATGCGTTCAATTGCGGGTGGCTGGTGTTGCCTATCAGCCATTTGTTCCTTCTAAGTGGTCGAGCTGACCAGATCGATGGTGTATCGAGCAATTATGTTGATCGCCGAGCTGCGTGATATTCAGGAGAAGACCTGTGTCAATGTCTGTGGAGGACACCAAACGCAGATGGGATTTCAGAATAAAGTGGGCGCCAGCGAAGGTGAAGGGCATCTTGGGTCGAGCGACGAGGCTAGGTTTTATGTTTCACGCAGGTTCAGGTATTGTGTTAGGATTCCTTGTTGCCGGTTTGCAGAGACAAAAGAGGAAATCCAAGGGGCTCAAACAGCTCAAAAGGGAATTCGAGACAGAATGCACGAGTGCCCGAAATGAGGATGAAGCGAATAAAATGATGCGACGAATGGAAACGAAGGACGGAGCTGTCAAGGACGAAGTTGGGGGGTGAGTGTGAGATATGGAGTACTGTACCCTGTACATAACGCGGAGGGAGGTCGGGTGGGAAGCCAGCCGAAAGCAGCTAACTAGGGTCTGTAATAACCTAGGTATTATTATGGAGAAGGTAAGAAGATTAAGAAGAGAAAAACTAAGACAGAAACAAGACCGACAGACACGAGAAAAACAATAGGGCAGCCGCTTACACGACAATCGAGATTACCAAAAACAGCAATAGGGAGTAGGGAGCAAGGACTGGTTTGCCACAGCCGCCACGCTTGGGTGCTATCTCTGGGCGCTGGACACTTCGATTCGTTATCATACGAGACGACAAGAGACGGATATTAATGTCATTAGCATCATTTCTCTAGCAACTTTCATGGCAGACCTTTCTGCTCAGCTATTTACCCTCTAATTCGGAATTGAATTGCTAGCGGTGGATACAAACGGTTGGCCATCTCAATAACAGCCTTATCTCGTGTGGTGTCATGTCATCGTGGTTGTGTGTAGTCGTGAAGTGGTCGTGCTGTGAAGCCAGCCTCTATGCCTTTGCGTAATCAGCGACCAAAAGGAAATTCGTGAACGTAGCCGATAAATGTTCCGCGCGGCGCCGACCGCTCTGCAATACGGTGTGATTTCTGCTGTTGCGAGCAAGTTTGGCGAAGGCAAGTCTCTTGGTGAGACATTCGCGTTGGTGGCGTCTAGTTTGGTGCCATGCTCGCAAAGGCCGAAAGATATGGATGGCCAACTGTTGCCGTCGTAGCGCCAAAAAGGCGGGGATCGTTGAAAAGTGTAGGTAGGTATAGTGACGCTCGTCCGTATCCGAGCCCGTGTCCAAAAACTGCCAGGATTTTGGTCGTCACGCTAGCGGAAGAAGCTTTTGCATGTCGCACATGGACGGTAACCCTCCCGAACGGCACAGCATGGTATTGCCTCGGCTGGGCAAGCTCTGGATCCAATGCCATCAAGAGAAAAAGCCAAAAAAGGCGCTCATGCGTGCTTGCTCCTGCTCAAAAAAAATGTGGTGATAAATGTTCGAAACCCTTCAGGCACTAGGTGCTGCATAATGGATTTTTGCACCGGGGAGACCTTTGGCGACAACTTGATATGTCGAGGATGTGGACAGTGGTGCGAGGTGCTCTATGGAACCGTCCTCCTTGGCGGCTGCAGCAGTCAGTCGAGGGCGCATGGTCGAGGGTTCGTTGAAGAAATCGTCGTCTCGATGGTTCTCAAAGGAGAACCCGGTACTGAAGAGTAGTCGCATTAGATTCTTGATCATGGTCGCCAAAGTGCAGAGCACAACGGAGGCTGAATCGGGGGGGGAAGAAGCGGAGAGGGAAAAAAAAGGGCCTACAAGACCATGCCGAGTAGATATGCTGCCATTGATATAGCTACCGGTTGATGTTGGCAGTGGTTTGAGCAAGTGGGGGTGGGATGTCGACGTCGTCGTTTGCATCAGCTGCTGCCAAAAAACTGGGTAGCGAGCAATGCGGGGTCTAATGACCAGTGGAATGACTTGCGGATCGAATGATGCCCCTTGCTTCCGAGTGTGACGCGGCCTGGGCTCGCAGGGTGACAGTTCAGTGGGTTGGCTGGAGGGGGAAATGCTGGTGGCTGGGATGCTTGAGAGATAGGCTGTGGATGGTCGGACCAGGTACGAGGTAGACATCTGTGAAACTTATACTCGGTAGAAGGACCACGCGCAGGTATATATGTATGTTTGACTGCGCGGTATGCAGCAGTGAGCACGGAGTACCGAGTATGGCTTTGGGAAACGGCCTTTTGCGAACAGCGATCGAGGCTGATGGCAGATCCATTTTGATCCAACGTACCATCGTATCACAGGGAGCCACTCGAAGCGCCCCAGAAGCCATCCCACGAGCGTCTCGGACCCCTTGTTTGTTCAGAGCCTATCGTGTCTCGCCTGGTCAGAGTTGTTCTCCGCATCGAAGGAGAGGCTCCGGCCAGCACGGCTAGCTGTTCCTATTCTTCTTTCCCGGCGCAGTGTCAGGCGAGGATGCTGAGTCGGTGCCCGTGCGGCAGTGTGCTAGTACGAGCAACAATGCGATTAAACCCGGAGAGACTCGATCCTGCTTCCTGGGAGAGGATGAGTCGAGTACTGCACCAATCTGCCGTTGCCCATTCAGAGCTCCACGTTACTCCATACAAAGTACAGTGGGAATTCCATCTCAAATTGTTTATTGCCTCCAGCCAGCCTTGTTGTACTCTCGTACGTTCTCGCCTTGGCTGGGAAAGGGGTGAGATCCATTTTGGGAGCTGGCCGTGGATGCTCAGGGTTGATTGCATGACGTTGGCCTCTGTTTTTGGTACTGCTTATGGGTAGTCGAAACATTTGGTGGCCCTCGGGGCGCAGCGGCCAAGGAGCGACCCACAGCAATGCCAGAAACTGCCGATGGCTTGACCTGGAGTGGCCTAGGCTCTGGTCTACGACCCCCATGTTGCAAAGATGACAACATCTGCGGCTAAAATTCCTCATTCTTGCGTGGACACCGTCGAGTCGCGGGTGATACGTACGGAGTACCTAGCATGATGCCCACCAGCCGTTCGGTTGGCTGGTATGTTGGCGGAACTCGAGGGCAGCTAAACATTCCCTTTGTTCCTCGTGTGAAGGGTTTCTGCGAACTCAACCGTCCACGTTCCCCCCGTGATCGAATCATGGTCCCCTATGTCTCTCCTCCGGTTGAACGCAGTTTCACCCACACACCGTCACGGGGAGACATTGTCACACCGATGCTGAAGGTCGTTTCCCCGTCCTCCATATCATATCGAGTTTCTTCACTCGGCCAATTGCGCGGATCTCGCGGCTGGGTTCTGGACGCGGGAGCGTTTACAGCCTCGAGGTATTGAAACGTCTGCAAGATGCGGACAATAACGTAAGAGACGTTCATCATCGCCATGTTCTCTGGGATACTTTGTCAGTCTGGACCAGGCTGAGCTCAACACCGCCGATCAACAAGGACTTACTGCCCAGACAGACGCGCGGCCCGAGGATAAAGGGCATGAATGCCCCTTCAAAATCACCCAGTGTGCCAGCGCTAACTTCTTCCCATCTTTCCGGTCGGAACGCGTCAGCATCTTCCCCAAAGATATCTCGTCGATGGTGCAAAGAATAAATGTTGAAGGCCACCTTGGTGCCTGCTGGTATCAACAGTGGACTTTTCCCATCGGGCCCACCCCCTTCGGGGAGTACAGTATCGACCTTGGCAGTGCGCCCATCCAGCGGTACCACAGGAAAGACCCGAAGTGTTTCGTTCAAGACGTGGCGGAGATATGGGAGAGTTGTGACATCTGCCCCCGTTGGAAGCTTTCCCCGCGGGAAATGGGTGTCGATCAAACTCCGCAGCTTTGCCATGACTTGGCCATGTCTGGCCAAGGCATAGATCACCCAAGAGGCGAATGAGGCCGAGGTATCTCTACTTGCCAGCAGCAACGCCAAAAGTTGATCCCTTATCACATCGGCCGGAATATTATCTCTGGCCACCAGTGAATGCATGAATGATGTGCTACCGCCTTCTCTAGGGTCTGCCGTACGCT